GGCGATTATTTCATACAAGTACCGGATATTTAAGGTTTCATATTTTTTGACACTTTCTCATCTTTTGATTGATTGATTAAATTAGTTTATTTATGTACATTTATGTAAATCGTATAAATTATACTTGTTTATGTGTGTAATGGAATTGCCCATTGATAATATATTCTCGGAATCTATGCACAATGTCTTTATCCGACATGCTGTAAGTGCATGCACGGAATCCAATATTTGAACAGTCCCCTCTGAACGTAAACGTGTATTTTTTCTCCCATCTCTGAACTTTGCTGGCTGATGATTCATCTCTTTGCCGAAAAACAAAAACTATCTCTTCTATAAACTATATTATTTGTACTTTAACTTTTTTGTTTCTTCTTCTTTCATTCATCATTCGTCATCCATAATGTCCAACAACAACATCAACAACAGTCACAACAGGAACATCAACAACAGTAACAACAGGAACATCAACAACAGTAACAACAGGAACATCAACAACAGTAACAACAGTAACATCAACAACAGTAACAACAGGAACATCAACAACAGGAACATCAACAACAGTAACATCAACAACAGTAATAACAACGACAACAACATATCAATCACAACCCGGCAATCAGAAGACATAATAGATTTAGAAGATTACTATCGACGCAGATCTATCCGCTCCGAAAACAAAGATGCCTTTGACATTGACAACATGGCTTGCTCAAAATGTGGTTACAAAAGAACCAGTCTATGGTGTAATGACTGCGAAAGACGCTCCTTCAAATTATCCTTTTCTACCTGGACAAGCGGAAGCGAGCTCGTAGATAAATTTATACAGGACATTCAAATAAATGCACAATCTTGCACACAGTATATCGAATGGATACCATTCGATCGGTTGACTATAATTAACTATGTAGCAAGCGGTGGTTCGGCCCGGACGTTTCTAGCTAATTGGAAAGATGGGCCAATGTGGAAATTTGACAAGAAAACTGGAAAGAGAGTTAGAAGTGGGTCTAGAAACGTGATTGTAAAACAGATAAAGAATGGTGTTGAACTTACAAGTGAATATTTGAACGAGGTAAGAACCGGGAGAGTAGTAAGAAAGGTCATTTTATGACTGATGGATTATTCACACGAACATCTTTTGCTTTTATAACCCTACCACACATATAACCATACCATACACATATAACTCTACCATACATATAACCTACCAAACATATAACACTACCATACATATAACCATACCATACATATAACTCTACCATACATATAAACCCTACCACACATATAACTCCTCTCTCCTCCTCCTCCTCCTCCTCTCCCTTAGTTAAAGTCTTACTTCAAGTGTGTGAGTTGGGACGATCATCTTCTTCACTACTTTGGTATAACCAGAGATCCATCAACTAAAGAATATGCAGTGGTTGTAGAATATGCAAAACTTGGCAGTTTACGAGATTACCTCTACAAAGACACTAACCTCACATGGTCACGTAGACTATCCATACTTAATGAAATTGCACTAGGACTATATAACATACACGCCAAAAATGTAATACATGGCGATATTCACAGTGGCAACGTTCTCGTCTATGATAGCAAAAAATCCCGCAAGGGTAATGACGACGTCTACACAGTAATAGCAGACCTCAGACTCAGTCGATCAATATTACGCAGCTCTTTTTCGTTAGATGAAGTATACGGGATTCTTCCCTACATTGCACCAGAGATACTCGTCGGCGGCGACCAAACCATCTCATCCGACATTTACTCTTTCGGCCATATAATGTACGTGCTCTCTACGGGTCGACAGCCGTTTGCTGACTATCTTTACGATAAAAATCGGTTGGCGTTCAGTATCTGTGGTGGGCTTCGTCCTAATATTCCGGCAGATACGCCGGCAGATTATGCGATATTGATGAGACAGTGTTGGGATGCCGAGCCGAGTAGGCGGCCCGATGCTTTTGACTTGGTGACTAGGATTGGGACTATCAGGAGGACGTTGCCAGCTGATGAGGTTGCGAAAAGGTTGGTGAGGAAAGGGAGGACTAGCAGAGTTGATGAGATTGATGATGGTTGTAAGAGTAGTTGGGTGGATGTGTCTACATTGAGAGGGACAATAACGCTGAGAGGTATGTGAAACGGAAGGAAGGAGGGGAGGAGTGAGAATGAGAGTGAGAGAGAGTGAGAGTGGGAGAGAGAGAGTGTGTGTGTCTGTGAGTGAGTGAGAGTGTGTTGTGTGAGTGTGAGTGTGAGTGAGTGAGTGTGAGTGTGTGAGTGTGAGTGTGTGTCTGTGCCTGTGAGTGAGTGTGGGTCTGAGTGTGTGCGTAATCGTGTATGGAGTGAGCGTTGCAAGATTGGTTGTGTTTATGCATCTACCAAGTTTTAGTGCTGACTATTGTTTCTCTGTTTGTTACTAGCATCAAATTCGTTAACGAATATTTATGCTCTCAACGGTGGTTCATTTGCCAGACATTCAGAATCAAGTAAGTTGTGGGTAGTTGTTTGTTTGCGCTCGTACACAAACTCTCTTACGAACACGTTTTATGTCTTTAGGTGCATCGCTGCGCAGTCAGTATAGGCGTGCGACAAGAGCACCAAATGGAAATAAATCAGTGACCAGTGGTAAGTATAGTAACCTTGTATTATTCTCTATTAAAGACATAAACATTAATTAATATCATGATATGTTACGTAGACATTAATTCTCAAAAATCCGATTCCGTTACAATAGGTAACGTTATTAAAAAGTGAGTTTATTTTTTCTAGAGATGGAATACTGACATATATTTAATTTGAATGTTAGAAACGCTTGTAGCTTCTCACGAGAAAAGTGAATCAGAGGACACAACAGCAATGACATCGACTGCAGGTTAATATACGGGGTTTACGTGTTGTGGGGTCTAATTTGATATGCTAATTTGTATAAATGATCCTGTATTTGTAGCCACCACGCCAACAAGACAACAAATGGTAACTTTTCTTGAAGATTCAAAGACTGATATCCGAAAAGGTGAGCAATATCAGTACAAATGCAGCTAACAATTACAGCGTCATATGTTTAATGCTGATCAATTACTTTAGACGAAACGCGTATAAAAAGAAAAGAAGCGCGAACAAATGTCAGCGTATTAAGATTAATGAGACGATATAAGAACAAACTATTGAAGGGACTAAGAACAATATTCATATGTGGAAATAAGGATCGATTATGAATATGCCGTGTACGAAAACATTTAAGTTTTTTTCTTAAGCAAAAAAATAATTTTTTTTACAATATGTTTGATAAGATTTACGTATAAACGCACGAGCCAAAGTTATACAGTATGCACACTTTAACCATTCTAAAATTGACGCTTGTTTATTAAAGTTTTTTGTTTGTTGTTGTTTGACATATTAAAAACATATGAAGAAAAAAACACAACTCTGAGTTTCATATAAATTGGCTATAATTTTGAATTTTTTCCTCATATGGTAAGTTTGTCGCAACAGATAACCCAAAGCTGCGCCAAAAAATTTTTACAACTAACGGTTTAATTTATGCATGCTTTATTCTAACAATAGAGAAGAAAAGTATCGCAACGCAAAGAGGCAGGTCATTCAATTTATTTTAATAGCTGCACATTGGCGTCATAAAGTGCGCGGCATATTCAACTCTTCTATCTGAAACAAGTTTTTTCTCGTAAGCCTTTCTTATTGGTGTTTCTTTACTTGAAGCAGTAGCCACTCGCACAACATTGTAAGGAAAATCTGGGATATATTTTTTACCAAAAACTGAAGCATGCTTACACAAAAAAATTGATATATCAAATTATAGTGTATATACAATATAAAGTAGTTTTACAACGAGCAACTAACAAAACAATATCAAGGCGTGCGAAGAGTATGTACATAGAACAAATATAATTGCAAGAGTATAAGTTTTTATACTACAGTGATAGTATAAAGTAGGTAAAAATATAGTATAATTATTTTATTTATTTCCTCCCATTGAATATCTTTATGAGTTGCCTTTTAATGATAGCTGCAGGAGTAATAGCATATATTGGCAGAAAGGCACATCTCGAGAAGGATGCAGGGGGTGAGTAAAGGGCAGCAGTCTTGGGCGTCATTTACATTGTCCAGCTTTTAAATGCCACGTTTTGGAAAGGCCTGTTCGATGACTTTGTTAAAAAACGCGGAATTTGTGCTGAATAAACCGACTGGCTGACTGATTGCATTTGTTTGTATGTGTTTTTTTGTTAATCTTAATATATAACTGAAAAGTCTTGGCAACGTTTTTAATGGGGTTTCTTCCGGTGTTTTTTTTTTTTTTTAGTTATGCACCTTTGCTATGAGACTAGTCCAAGTCTGGACTCTTTGCTGTCAAGGTTTAGATGACTAATTTTACTTTAATATTATATTTATTAGCTAATGAAACTTAAATATGATTAATTGCATGTGAGTCAGAAGACGAGTGGCTTGCTATAAGGTAAGAAAGGAAAGTAGACCTGTCTTTAAACATGTTTGTTTTAATATTAATATAATATGTAATATGTAATATGCGGTATTATAATTAGTATATTTTATCGTCTATACAATAACCGCTTGTTTATTTTAGGCCCGTGATTATGTTATTACCAATGCATAAGAACCGTCTTATTGGTAACGTTTTCGGATCATTTGATGTCAGTTTCATGCAAGATGTATTGATCCGCAGTAAGGAATCACTCTCAGTGAATTTTTCCTTTACTTGGAAAAGTGCATGCAGGTTTGCACATTGTGTTTTCTTGGCTGGGCTACCTTTTTCTTTTAGTTTTTGGTAGATAATATATGGGCTTGAGTAGGAGCGATAGCGCGGTTAATATATTCGAAAGCAACAGCTGTAAATGTGAAATGTCGATTCTCTTTTTCTTTGTTGTTTTCGTGGCACTCATAAAAATACCAGTATGAAGCTATCATATGTAATCTGTCTCAATTGATTTGACAATAGTTCAAACGCTGGGAATTTGTCAAATAAACGCTTCCGATCTTTATTATCTCTGACCGCCCAATAGGTTTAGTATAGAAAATCTAAGATACAACGCTTAGAAGCGCCACAAACACTTATAACGTTTAATAACCAAGCCTCTTTTGGCAGTGCGCCACCAAAATCACGCATCTGTAGTGGTTTGTAGCACAATTTTCCTCTATATGCACGCCCGTGATTTTCACGTGATGTTAGTCCAGGAAGAAGAAATGCGTTTTTGTACCCTTTTTTATATATTGTTTTTTTTCCGATGTGCACTTGTTGATATTTATAATCTATTTGTTTCTTGAAATATTCATAAAGTGCCAATGACAACCATTTATTATTATTGAAGAGCTTGACAAAAACCATCAGACATTCCAATCTAGAATTTGTTACTAAAGAGTTATTCAAGCATGTTAATGCTCTTGATTATTATATTATTTATAGTTTATTAATGTAAAGAAACAAACAACAATAAAGTAAACGGTTATTTTATTTTTGTCTTTCATTATAACTATATCAATATTACGTGCAACCAATAAAATGCTGACCTCTATATATGCACAGCTTGGCTCATTCCCAAGGGCGTGAATATATAGAGGGTTGACTGTACCACTTTCCCAACTCATATACCACATACTGGCGTCCCTTCCGATAAACTACAAGAGATTTTATGCGAAGAAGATTACATTCAGTTTCCATGCCCGTCTACACTCCGATACATACCATATTTCAAAAGAAAATATCTTTTTCTCCTATCTACTTACATACCAGTTTAGGTCTTTCCACTGGTGAAAATCTTTTTGTGGGGTACCGATCGTTTATGGGATATTCTAAAAACTTTCACTCTATTATTTCTGCAACACGCTGATTTGTCTCCCCTAACGATTGTTGGTATCATTGCGATGGCTGTAACGAGATAATCACTATTTGTCCACTTATTATGTATTCAAGCTATAACGTCTGGAAAATAAAGGTATAACCCATACATTTATTTTTAATTAACACTATACACGCGATTCCCTCATATTTACCATAACCTATTGGTTTAATTAGCCATGTTTTTGTCACTATAGAATCATATTTCATTACTTCAAATTCATTGACTGTACTACAGTTCTATATATTTCTCAACAGCATGTTAATGTGTGCTTTTTCTAATTTAGATATTAACCGATGACTTGTTTTTTCCATTTCTGTAACAATAAACTATTTAATTCCTCATCGTTTGCTCATTCGTCCTTCTGCTATACTATACATTTTCCCAGTGTATGCACTTCCTCTAACTTAAGTGTATCAGTATCGTACATACATAATACATTAAAACCGATGACTCGTGTCTTTTATTTTCCGTATATTTTTATAACGGTTTCCTAAAACACAACATAGCAATAAAAATTTCTTTCGCTAACTACGCTTATACTGTACGTCTTTTCATATACATAAAATAGTACTATTCACGCTTCACCAGAAATTACATTAAACAATTTAGCTCATCCCCTTGTGCACTTTCCTAACTTACTAAGTATATCAACGTCGTAGGAAATTAATCTAATGACTTTTAAATATTCTTGCAACAGGAAATACAAAAAATTTTTTTTTACTAACTTCGATGCCAAATTCTTACATCATTTCAATCTCTTTCACTACGCTTATCTTTCATGTAATACTGATACTGGAAAATGTGTAGTTCTGTTCGCCCTCTCAACACGCGTATAAATAAGGCAGATATCCTCCCTTCACACTTGAAGAAACATGTTTGATCAATTACTGCCGTACATATGTTCGTCATTCGAACGAAAGCTAAATCAGCATATCAATTATTATTAAATTTCTAAACTCTGCAAGCAAAACCATTATCATTCATTTCGATGTCGACATACTTTCGGAAAAGATATTACTCAAGGAAATATTACATGACGCCTTTGACTATAAAATTCAGTTATACTAAAATAAACCCCTGACTGGCCCGCAATGTTAACGTTTCGTGGTTGATGCAGATTAAACAGGAGGCAATTATTTCACCGACAAAATACCCCAACATTATTTCATTCTTGGTAGTTGCTTGTTGGTGAAATGTACTGTCGTTGAAATAAATCCGATCAAACCACGTTTACCAAAAGTACATACCCCCTGCTCGAACTTGGTTACGGGCCATTAGCAAAGCACACAGTACACCGGTTCTACCCCTTCACGAAAGAATAAAAAAGCAAAATCCGAATATATTTCTTTCTGGAATGGAAAAGAAGCCACTAATTGATCTAATGTGAAAATCGGCTCCAAGGTATCTGTCGTGAGGAATTAGATATCTATAACAATAAGCTCTATGTAGAGCTTCACAACTTTGATTTTCTTTCCCTCAATACCTCTCCAAAAACTACAACTATCTCGCCTCAAATCCACTCATCAGAAAAAAGATCACTCATGTGCAAATCGCCTTTGTAAAATCATAAAACCATCTCTCCTCCGTCACAATAACAAAAAAGTACAATGAAACCGATAACTCCATTACCGAAACATTAGCAGCAACAACACCGATTCCATATCCACCATCATAGAACACAACCAGTAATCTAAAAAAAGAAAAAGCCGACAAAGGCGATTACTTCAAATCAATCGAACAAATTGCATCAGAAAGCTGAACTTACCCGTTATAATACTCTAATAACTATTTCATAATACCTTATCCGATATATATGTGACTTTATTACTGTAAGGCTCTACATAAAATTCTTATTAGTAGTTAGCGTGAATATGCATACAAAGTTTAACAAAAGGAGAAAACTGAATGGTTAATATGATTAATAATTTCTACACATAAATCTTTACTTGAGCAATAGTCGTTGAGCGTATTTGCCAGATGGAGATGAAACTAGTTAGTATAAACAGAGAAAACTGAGACCTTTCTCATAAGAAAAGAAATCTGTGTTCGTGTTGTACGACTTTAACTTTTATTGGATGATGGATGTCACACAGACGATCGACAAAATCGGATATATCAATGAAGTAATTTAGGTTTATTTTTTAAACTTTGCACAAACACGCACGAAATGAGTATTGTAGTTGATTTGTCCTCAGGCCTTTTTTCAGACTATGAGAGGCTTTACGAAACCGGCAAATATGCGGATATTTCAATCCACATTGGAAAGGAGCCAAATAACAAGATATTTCTCGCTCATACACTAGTATTGTGTACTCGAAACCTATTCTTTGAGAATAGCTTAA